CGAGCCTGACATTGAGTAGGCTCCTACGCATGGGCAAGTAATTCTCCGCTGCACCCATTCCCATTGCCAAGGGCTACAATAACAACATGTGCCCCTTCGCGGAAAAACTGGGCCGATGCTAGCGGCAACCCAACGCGGAAAAAACCCTTAGGACCCAAAGCGACCCGGAACGCCGAAGCCCAACGACCCACCAGGGGAGATGATCCTGAGGTCATCGTGTCTGGTAGCCTTTGTCACAACCTGAAGTCATCCCCGAAGCTTTGGCATGGTGGTTTGGAGTCTACTAGTGCTGTGCCAAACCCCTTCGAAGTATCTTGTTGCTCATTAAGGAGAAGGGAGAAAGGAACAAAACAAGAGCCCCGAATTGCAAACCCCTCATTGATTGTCGAAAATCCCTTCAAGTGGGGATTGTGTCCTTTGTGGTCGGCCAATCGCATTCATAAATGAGCCCCTGAATCTGCGAGGAGGAACATAAGTGTCAATGGACGGCACATTTTCGGCCCCACCAAACAACCAGAACCCAAAAGGCCCACAGCACCAAACTGCCCCGGCTAAAAATAACAGCTGATCCGCCCTGTTCTTCTCTCCACCCCCATGTCATAATCAGTCCTCCCAAATCACAAACCAAACCAAACTAAACCTGAAACAACACCAAACCAAACCGGAAACAAAAAGAACAAAAACAAAACAACAAAACCTTTAACCAAACCTCTCAACCAACCCAACCTCCCAACCAACCAAATCTCCCCACCAACCAAAGCAAACCAAACCAAACCAAATGAACAAACCAACCAACAAGCAACCAAGCCGAAAAGCAAGCAAGCAAGCAAGCAAGCAAGCAAGCAAGCAAAAAACCAAGCAAGCAACCAACCAAACAACCCACCCCACCCAACCCAACCCAGCACAGCACAGCACCAGCTCCAGCTCTCTTGCGCCGCGGGCCTCGAAGCTCGGCAGCTTCGCCAGCTGGATTTCCAGCACCGCCTGGCGAAGGAGCCATGGGCTTCAAGCCATGGTCTAAACACAGGTTACACATGGGGAGCCAAAAGAGGGCCGGCAACAAGTGGCCTTTGAAAAGACCTGGAGGCAGAGGTTGGTGTACAATGACAGCTCACCTGGGAAAGGGGGGGTTGTTTCTCAGAGGTGGCGGCAACTGGCCTGATGACCCTGCGGCGCCCACCGCACTTGGGGCGGCAAGCGGAACCGCTGCGCCAGCTGGGGATCCTCAGGCGGCACTGGTAAGAGGTTTGGGTGTTTTTGGTTGAAGGGGGAGGTAAAGGGAAACCGCCTTTTTTTTCTCGGGGTTCCCCGAGAAAAAGGACACACGCGCGGCAGCTCCCCTGCGAGAACAGAATTGTCGCTTTCTTGATGGCTGCGCAGCCCCAGCTCACACTCTGAACGCATAAGACGTCTCGAGTTACGCCAGGGTGCGACTGAGATTTGTTTGCAGTGTTGCAGGATGCAGTTGCAAGGTGGGTGCTGTTGTTGTAGGGCATGCTCAAGAATCTCGGCACGCGCAGGAGGTTTGCAGTTGCGCCCCTGCTATCTCGTTGATTTGTCCCTCTGAGACAGCTGGCTCTATCTGTTCACTGGCTGTGTTGTGGCTGCCGTGGTTGTGTCACCTGCGCCCCTATGGGACCCCTGCGAAACAGCCCCCTGCAACATCATGTCACGTTCCGCCCCTTCTCTTGAAGTTGGAACCCCTACAGGCCCCAGACTTTTCAGCTACCGCGGGAAAACAAAAACAACAAAACACGGAAAAGACCAACAAAAACCACAAATCAAGCCAGCAAGAAGCGAATTGCTTTACTTTGAACACCCCCAACCTAAGAAATCTGCTTGGGAAAGCTAGAAAGACTTCAACCACACATGCTGCTGGCCGATGCGACGCAAAGAGACTCAGTCAAACGAAAACGGAGTGCTGAACGCAGCGTTGACCCCTATCAAAGCAGCCTTAGCTGTTCCCGAAATCACCAATATTCCTCCTGGCTCTTAGATTCACCGGCTGCACGCTTTTGCCTGCGAGACGTGCGTGCCCTCTAGGGGCGCAGCGACGCACTCCTGGCGCCTGGAGCTTTGTAAAGAAACGTCTAAGCCGCCAGCACCGACGAAGTGCTGCAGCCAAGGGTGCAACAAGCAAAACGAAAGCCCAACCAATAGCAGGAAGTTCATCGTCAAACCTGGTAGTATACATAGCTTGTCTTTGGTGTGACCTTATCCCCTTAGACCTTTTCGGAAACAAACGGTGCGTCGCAAGCTCTGCCACAGCTGTCTGTCGCGGCTGCCTGCGAGGATCTGTCGCAGCTGTCTGTCGCAAGCTCTGTCTGGTTGTGGCGGTCGGACGTCCCTTAAAATCTAACAACCCCAAACCTATCCAGGCCAACCAAGACCAGCCAGGACAAACAAGGATCAGCCAGCCCCCAAAGACCGACCAAAAAAAATGCAACACTCAAAAAACAACAACAACAACAACAACAACAACAACAACAACAACAACAACAACAACAACAACAACAACAACAACAACAACAACAACAACAACAACAACAACAACAACAACAACAACAACAACAACAACAACAACAACAACAACAACAACAACAACAACAACAACAACAACAACAACAACAACAACAACAACAACAACAACAACAACAACAACAACAACAACAACAACAACAACAACAACAACAAAACGAACAACAACGACAACGACAACGACAACGACAACGACAACGAACACGACAACAACGACAACGACAACAACAACAACAACAACAACAACAACAACAACAACAACAACAACAACAACAACAACAACAACAACAACAACAACAACAACAACAACAACAACAACAACAACAACAACAACAACAACAACAACAACTCGTTTTGAGGATGGACGTCAGTCACGCTTTCTTTGCGGTGAAAAAAAGAGGAACAAAAGAAGAAAAAAGAACAGAAAAAACACGGAACAAAAGAAAACAAACAACTCGTGTTGAGGATGGACGTCAGTCAGGCTTTCTTTGCGGGGGAAAAAATGGAACAAAAAATGGGGGGAAACGGAGAAAAAGAAGAAAAAAAAACGTGCGGCACGTCTCTCTTTGCGCGTGCCAAAGGCTCCCCCAGGTGTGCCAGGAGCTCCGGGAAGCGCTGCACCACCCGCAGGGCCTGCGATCGCTTCGCGCTGGCTTCCCCCGCTCGACCCGGCGGAAACGGCGCCCCGATGGGAGCAGGTGAGGTGGCTTTTGGGGGGGGGGATTTTTGTTTGGGTGGGCCTCTTGCAATGGGAGTCCTCTCAAAATAGGGAAGGTGGGTCTATGAAATGGGTGTGCAACAATGTCGGAAGGGCTGGCAGCTTCCCCAAGTGTCATTTCACTACTTGGATTCTCAATGCAATGACAAGGGATGGAGTGTAGATGTAATTGATCCCTCAAATTCTCAAGCCGTTGGTAGGCAGTTGGTTTTGGAGACAAGGAACTCTTGTGGATATCATGGTCTTGCGCTTCGCTGAGTCTTCTGACGCCTCCGGTGCCCCCTCCCCAAATTTGGGATGACAAGTAGCCAACTGAGCTCGGCTTCCTCTGGGCAAGTTGCGCTAGTACATGGCCATGGGTCAAAATCCAAATCGTACCCCCAGTGGACATCCCAATCCAACCACTAAAATAGGTTCTAAAATGGGTGGTGCACCTACCCCAAAACCGGTACCATTTGGTTTTGACCCACAGCCACATCTCCCTAACTGACGTCTCAGCTTAATCAACCGAGGCGCGTAGGCTTCCCTTTCCTCCGGCGGCAAATGCATCGCCGGGAAGGCGGGAGCCGCGGGAGGCGGGAGGTGTTGGGGCCCCGCGGGAAAGCGAGCGCCTCGAAAGGGCTGCGCAGGCCACTGATATAGTGCCTGTTGCTTTTCTGGGGACACTCATGCAACCAGAAGAGGAAACCACAAACAACAATTGTTATTTGGTGCGGCCCGGCAGAATGTCACTTGAACAAACTAGGCCAAACGTCCAAGAGTCCATTGGTGAACGGTGGTTCGACTGCGTATTCCCAAAATGCATGCCAACAAAAAACATGTTTGGTTCGTATCATGGCCGCTGGTTATTTGTCCGTGACCTTCTTCTGATGCTTGTCTCTACGTTGGTCAGCTCAATGTCTTGGAGGTGATTGGAAAGGGGGAAGAGCTGCTACATGAAGACTACGCTGGCTCACGTAAGTTCATCTCAGGGGAATGGCTGATGGACAATAAGTGGGGATTCTGACTTGCTGCGATTGAGCCAGATCCATCTACTTGGCGCGGACAGAGGCGTGAATCAACACCGGAACAACGCGAGCCTCACAATCTTGAGCCGAAGCAGATTCGTGTGAGCTGCCATCAAACGTTCCTGGTCCACTAAGCTGGGCGCGTTTACAGTTGGCTTCCTCTATTCAGAAAGTGTGGACCGTTGTCGCAACCTGTCCGGTGCTAGCTTGACTGCCTCTCAAGTAGCTGGGTATGCTGCAATCGTAGATCGTGCTCTCCGGCTCCCTCAATAGTCAAACCCAGCAGTATGGAATCGGATATTCGAGCGCCACCATAGCCATGGCGCCTTTTTAAAGATCTATATCTGATTCCAGCCGATGTTGGGGGTCTGCAACACATATTGTTGTCTAAGCTTTGGAGTCACTGGCACCCATGGCCGCAACCCGTCGCGGATTCCTCACAATCTATTCTGCCCTGCAAATGGATTGGTTTGCTGGATTCCACGTTAATCCGCAGAAGGTAATCATACAGGTCAACCTAGGCAACAAAGGACTTCCTGACGTGTGCTTACAACTCCTGACTTCTCAATGAACGAACTCCCCCAAAATCCCAACCTTGCCATCCTCATTACCTTCCTTTCCATATTACCTGGAAATTGCCCGGAAAAGCCATCCATGTGCTTAGGCATCCCATGTCGAAGAGTGTGACATACCCGAACTCTCCGAGTCTCCAAGTCTCTCCAAGTTGAGTGCCGGGCTGCCAGCTGATCAGTGAGGAGGCTCAGGCTTTGGAGCCCCTCAATCCGCTGCTGCGCCTTTCGGGCTGCAGACAGCTGCGATCGATCCGCCTCTTGATCTGACCAAGGCGATCGAGCGAAGGTCAAGCTTTTGCTGGTTCCAACCGTGCAGCATAGTCAGAAGCTCATGGACCATGGTCTTCACACATGTTCATGCCGCCTTGTTCCAAGCGGATGATTGCAGTTCCTATTCACCATACCACACGTAGCAAATCAAGAAGTCCACGCAGCCACCAATAAGCTGGCACACTCCAGTGGTATCTCCACGAAAACGCGATTCGCCCAACTTCAAATCCAGGCACACCATCCGAAGTCCAGGCTATCCGAAGCGGCCCCGGTTCTTTTCCACTCGGGTCAAGGAAAGGAGCAGTTTTTTCTAGTTGCTTTGGGTCCACCGGTTTTCCTGACCTAGGCTGCGCTGCAAGAAACCGGAGCGATCTTGCGAATGTTTCAACAGCTGCCGGCTCCTCCAGGAGCTTCCGCTGCTGCTCCTCCTGCCGCGCGCCAGTCCGCTGGGACAAGGCGCCAAGCTCCGCCTCTCGCGAGGCTCGCGAGTCTTGCTGGCGCCGTTGGCTCATGACATGGCGCCGTTGGCTCATGGGTGTGGTCCCTTGTTTCGAGGCCACGCCTTTGGCGTGTGGTTTTAAAGGGAAGCCAAAAGGAAAGCCGAGGCCATTTCAGTGGGTCCTCTAAGAGACGAGACACCCACGTGGCTGAATCGGTGCAGAAGGGCCTCCAGCTGCCGATGGGTGGCCTGCTGCTGCTCCAGCCTTAGGCCCAAGGTGATGCTGACAGCTCCTTTGGGGGAATTCGCGTGCCAAAAATGAGTATGGTTTATGTGGGGCCCGCCTTTAAAAGTGGTCCAGAAAGGTGTCCATAAAATTGACAACCCACCAAATAATGAGAGAGGGAATACGGCACGGTGAACAAAAGCCTTTCTTTTGGGCATAGTCGCCCGTCAAAGACGAGCTGTAAGTGAGCCCTACTTGCAGTCGACCCTGAAAGAAATGGTCGCCAAACCTCGTTGTTGGACAACGACAAGCTCTGGGTGCCTCAAAAACACAAGTCGATGTTATGGCAGGCTGGTGTGTCCATGAGTTCGAACTCCCACACTTAAAGTGGTTGGCTTGGTGACTGCTGGTTGCATGCGCCTGTCCGGGCATACCGATTGCGACTTGGCTTGAGTTTTCTGCTAGGCTGCTCTGGCCAATCAGCTTTAGCTGGTCCAATTGTTGCATCCAGAAGTCAGACGTCTTTGCCGGGATCCCAAACCTTAGCATGCCCCAAAGGCTGGTGTGGCGGCCTATCCGTGATTGTCAAGCCTCTCAAAAGACCTGGACATCGCCACATGTCCCAAAACCTGCAGTGAGCGGATGTGTTGGGCCCAAGACTGGACGGGCAAATGGAGCCCCGGAAACCGCATCGCACATCCAACCCCTCCGGTTTTGATCACGAGCTCCTGGCTGGCGAGAAAGCGCGGCCTCTGCTTCGCTGACGCCTCAAAGGTTGGTTTCAGGGCAGAGGGGTGGCTGAGCAGACTCCCTCCAACAACATAGACGCTGACAAGAGGGTTTTGGAAGACCATTTGGAAGACCATTTGGAAGACCACTTTTCTTTGGGGGAACCTTCCTGTGCTGGAAAGAGGGTAGATTCCACCAGGTTTTGTCAGATTCAGTTCATGGACGTAGCTTGGTTCATCCATTGGGAGGTGGGTACTTGAAGGTGCTGAATGTCTAGCACTGACTCAGCTTGACGAGCAGAGGGTCAAGCTTCCCCATGTATGCTTCATGGAAACACTCCCCAGCCATGAAGATGAAGCGATCCATGACCTACAGCGCTCACAATATGGGTGTGGGTCAAAAAAACAGGAATTGGACTGCAGGTTAAATCGTCCTTGCTTCCGATTTACCAGGGCAACCCATTTTGGGGTTACCCGACCCACACCATGCCAACATGGTCCAAGAGTCCAAGACACCTTGCTCAGTCCTCGATCGTTCTCTTCAGCGTGGGCCAATGTTCAGGGGATGCGGATGGGAAGGACTCAAGCAGCACGCACAAGGACGCCTTTCGCATCATCTTCAGGGCAATCTGCTCCAGTTTGGATGCGTCTTTGCTCAGGGTAGCCTTGAGGCTGAAGCGACACCCAAAGGAGTTTCCGACTTCGAATTGAGGGGATTTCCAGACGTAAAGAGAAAGTCATTTGGGCCTGTAGTTTTTTACGGGACCCCCCAAAATGGTGGTGTTATTGTTGGTTCTCCTTCAACCCACCAGCCACAAAGGGTACTATCAAATTACACCAGCCTCGACCCCAAACAGCAAAAAAGCATGACAGGTCTGTATAACCCAAGAAAGGCTTGTCTCCTTCATGTAAGGTGCGAAATTGAGTAGCTTATGTGAGCAACACATAGTTACAATCAGTCCATGTATGTCCCTGTATACAGGAAGTCCCCTTTTTTGGGAAGAGGACACATCGGGTCCATCAGCATCGATGTTGTTCATCGACTTTGAGGGGGAAAATGCGTGTCAATGCCATGTTCGAGAGTGAAGGCCCCGGGGATTCGGGGTGAACCAACCTAACACCTGGCATTAATCAAAGGAAGTTTCGAAGGAACTTTCGTAGTACGGACACTCAATGCACTTTTCCATCACCGAAGCATTTGGTGGCCGTCTCGCTCTCGCTACTCTGCTGAAACTTCCCTAAGGCTGCAGAGTTCTTAAATTTAAGAAATCCATAGATTTATGAAAATCGATGAATTTAGATAAAGTTCTACTTAAACGCAAAATTTACCTAAATTCTTAAGAAGGCCATAATCTGTCGAGGAGGCTTGAAAAGTGCATAAAAAGCGCATTAGAAATGCATAGGAATTGCATAGAAAATGCACAGAGCATGCATAAGAAACGTATCAGAAATGCGCGGAAGTTCATGGAAAACTCATAAATTCATAGCAAATTCATAGACACAAGTAAGTGATTCAGAATGCGAGACTTACTTACCTGTGCATTCACACTGACACAAGTAAGTGATTCAGGTAGCAAGATGTACTTACATGTGCATTCACTCTGACACGGGTATAGATACAGCAGCAAATTCGTCAAAATAAAACTGACAAAGATTATATGGCTAGTCCAAGCTCTTGGGAAGAACGCTGCATTAAGTTTCCGTGGTTTTTCTTTTCTGGCCTGTTTGGTTGTTGCTGGCTTCTTCCCCGGGCTGCCAGATTTACTCACCTGAGTACTCTTACTGACACAAGTAGTGATTCAGGCTGCGAGATGTACTTACAAGTGCATTCACACTCAAACAAGTATAGATTCAGAAGCAAATTCATCAAAATAAAAATGTTAAAGATTATGTAGCTACTCCATGGTTGTTTTTTGTTACCTGCTGTTGTTGCTGGCTTTTTCCCATGAATTTCCCATGAACTTTCCACAGACACTTTCCTAGAAAGAGTCCACTATGTTCCATGAAAGGTTTTATGCATGTTCCATAAAGTGTCCATGGTTGTTGTTTTTTAATATGCTGGGTTGTTACTGGCTTTTTCCATGAAATTCCCATGAACTTGCCACATGAACTTCCCAAGACAGTTTCCACGATTTTGCATCGAGTGTCCCTGCATTTTGCATGAAGTTTCCATGGTTGTTTTTTTGACCTGCTGGGTTGTTGCTGACTTTTTCCCATTAAATTCCCATGAACTTTCCACAGACACTTTCCTAGAAAGATTCCACTATGTTCCACAAAGTTTCCATGCATGTTCCATGAAGTGTTCATGGATGTTGTTTTTTTCACCTGCTCGCTTGTTGCTGACTTTTTCCATTGAATCTCCCATGAACTTTCCACAGGCAGGCGTCCATGAACACTTCATGGAAAATGCATGGAAACTTCATGGCAAACAGTGGAATCAGTTCATTGGGAATTTATATAATGGGAAAAGCCAGCAGCAACCCAGCAGGTCAAAAAAAACAACAACCATGGAAACTTAATGGAACATGCATGGGCACTTGCTGCAAAATCGTGGAAACTGTCGTGGAAAGTTCATGTGGGAAGTTCATGAGAATTTCATGAAAAAACCCAGCAGGTCCACATGCATGGAAACTTGATGGACAAGAGTGGACACTGTCTAGGAAAGTGTCTGTGGACAGTTCATGGGAATCTCATTAAAACAAGCCAGCAACAACCCAGCAGGTCAAAAAACAACAGCCATGGAAGCTTCATGGAAAATGCATGCAAACTTGATGCAACACCGTGGGAACTGTCTTGGAAAGTTCATGTAGGAAGTTCATTGGAAATTCATGGAAACAAGCCAGCAACAACCCAGCAGGTAAAAAAAAAAAAAAAAAAAACTATCATGGAAACGTGATGGAAAATGCATGGAAACTTGATGCAAATTCGTGGAAAAAGTTCATGTAGGAAGTTCATGGGAATTTCATGGAAAAAGGGCCAGCAGCAACCCAGCAGGTCAAAAAAGCAACAACCATGGAAGCTTCATCGAAAATGCATGGAAATTTCATGGAAAATCCTGCAATCTTTTTGGGAAAGTGTTTCTGGAAAGTTCATGCGAATTTGATGGGAAAAAGCCAGCAACAACAGCCGCAAACAAAACAACCATGGACACTTCATGCACTGTTCTTCTGAAGAGCTTGAAGTAGTCATACAATCTTAAACAGTTTTAATTTGATGTACTTGCTTCTGAATATATATCAGAACTACATGATACATATGTATAAATTCAATCAACACACTTCTCACTTGTTAGCTTGTGTTACAGACTGGGACTGTCTTGGTTTTACTTAAATCCGCTCATGTTTTCCGCATGTTTTTCACAGATCGAGGTTTCATATTAGTGCCTGCCCGCCTGCCTGCGATGGAGAAGAACTCTCCCAGCAAAAAGTCTGATGTGCCGAAGATGACCAGACAAATGGAACAAAGCCAACTTACAAATGACAAACTGCTTAAGAAGAAGGCCTTTTCCTTACAAACCAAGTGTTCTAGTTCTTAAATGTGATTAAAGTAGTTCTTAAGAAGAAACTTATTCTTAAATATTTTTAAGAAATCTGCAGCATCTGACCGCAGAGACTGGGAGACTCGGAAAGACAAGCGGGAGACACGACGACGTCACAGCACCTGGAGCCAGCGTCACAGCATCTGGCATCTACGACCCCGGAGCAAACCGCGGAGACTGGAGACACAGGGCGACAAGCGGGAGACACGACCCCGGAGACTGGAGACAGGCGGGGAAACGACCCTGGAGCCAGCGTCACAGCATCTGGCATCTGACCGCAGAGACTGGAAGACACAGGGAGACAAGCGGGAGACACGACCCCGGACAAGCGGGAGACACGACCCCGGAGCCGGCGTCACAGCATCTGGCATCTGACGGCAGAGACTGGGAGACACAGGGAGACAAGCGGGGAAACGACCCTGGAGCCAGCGTCACAGCATCTGGCATCCGACCGGAGAGACTGGGAGACAGGAAGACAAGCGGAAAACAGGACCCCGATCCGGCGTCACACTTTCCCATTCTCTTTACCTCAAGTTTGTTCCCCAATGCTTCGCTGTTTGGGGAAAAAAGACGAGCCGCCCATTTCGAGCTTCAAAACATGGAACTTTGGGCTTAGCTCGAGAGCGTCCCGAACCCCTCCAATCCCCCACCCCCCCCCCCGAAGAAGAAGAAGAGGGGGGGGTCTTGTTTCACAAATTCCAGAATTTGAACAATTGGGGGGAGGGGGTCGGCTGTTTAAGTGCAAAAGGGGGGTGTTGTCTGGGAGGTGGACGCGCGGCGCAGCCGCACGTGCAGCCCAGCTCGTCAGGCGTCCAGAGGTTTGTTCATTGCGCAGCGCAGTGATGAGCTTCATGCCCGCGTCTCCGGTCAAGACAGCATTGTTACACGCAGAGCAGGAGTGCGCGGCAAGTTGGGCTGCGTAGTGCCGGCTCAAACTCTTGCAATGTTTGGTCCCAAGCTGACAAGCGGATGTCCACCTGGGGGAGACAATTGCGAACGCCAAAGTGGAGGAGCAACGCGGCACACAAGCTTCTCTCCACCAGTTCCGCTGATTCTGAAAGTCACCCAGTCGCCAGCGGAAACTTGGGTGACCCAGCCCTAAGAGGGACGTCCCTCACTTGACTTTGCCCCGTCAGCATTGGCTTTTGAGTAACGGATGCGGCTGGCCACGCCCACGACCCATCTGGCCAGGTCTTTTGTGCAGGAAAGGCCATTGAAGCCTGACCGGAACGCCCAAGGTTGTAGAACCTGCCATAGCGACATGATTTGGGCAACAGGTCACAAGAAGCGGCACGCGGCACCTCGCAGTGCCACAACGTGAGCGACGCACAGCATACAAACACACACACACACACACACACACACCCACCCACCCACGCACGCACGCACGCACCCACCCACCCACACACACACACAAGCAAGCAAGCAAGCAAGCAAGCAAGCAAGCAAGCAAGCAAGCAAGCAAGCAAGCAACCAAACAAACAAACAAACAAACACAGACAACACACACACACAGACACAGACACACAGACACACAGACACACAGACACACAGACACACAGACACACAGACACACAGACACACAGACACACAGACACACAGACACACAGACACACAGACACACAGACACACACACACACAGGCACACTAACACACTGGCACACTGGCACACTGACACACACACACACACACACACGCACACACGCACACAAGTCGCGCTCCAGGACCGCTTCCCAGTCACAATGTGTATTGTCAGGAACATGGACAGGTTGGGGGCGCGTGCAATCCAAATGGGATGCCTGCCTTGCATGAGCAGAGCGCACGTTGCCCGCAGCAGCGCTAAGGTCTACGGGGTGGTGATGAAGGGGTCTGCGCCACAAGGCTCCGAGTCCGAGGATTGCAAGATCTCAGACGCAAAAGACGACACTCCATCGTCGACCGAAACAATCTCCCATGCCGATTCGTCGTCGCGGAAGGTGATGAAGGCGCCCAGTGGTAGACCAAGCCGCTGGATCGACGCGGTGGCACGGAGTCAGGAGAGTCTGGAGGTGGGGGTGGAGATTACACGGGTGAATGGGCAGCATTGGATGGACCCTGCCCCCTTTCCTGCCTTACCGGTGTGGTTGTGGCTTAGGATGTCACGCTGTCTTGCCCTTATGCCGGCCAGCCATGGAGTTTAATTTCATGGCTGGTGCGGGCGGCGGGCCTGACCAGAGTGTTACACCGCCCTGCTGCGCACTCCACGGAAGATGGGGCAGCGGCGCGTTGAACTCCAACCGGAGTCGTCCTGATGACGCTTGCGGAGGGACGGCCGCAATGGCAGGAGGGACCGTGCTGTGAGGCCGCGCACCCCGGGTCGCATCCATCCATCCATCCATCCATCCATCCATCCATCCATCCATCCATCCATCCATCCATCCATCCATCCATCCATCCATCCATCCATCCATCCATCCATCCATCCATCCATCCATCCATCCATCCATCCATCCATCCATCCATCCATCCATCCATCCATCCATCCATCCATCCATCCATCCATCCATCCATCCATCCATCCATCCATCCATCCATCCATCCATCCATCCATCTTTGGATTTCCAGGACTTCCCCCATTTAAAAAAGTTGGCAGACAAAGGTCGTTCCCGTGCATGTCTCTGCCATTTCAAACGACCATACGGTATTACTTTCGTCGCGCATCCAGTAGCGCCAATGTGAACACAGCGGGAGAAAACCCTACCAGCCCATCGTGTGCCTTAGCGGTTCTCAGATCTTCTGCTAAAAGTCTAACTTTTAGTGGACAACCCAGAGTGGACTCTATCCCCCGCCCCCCCCCAAATTCGATCAATGATCCCCCCCGGAACAATAATCCTCCCCCCCCAATTCGAACTTCTGCAAAAAGTCTAACTGTTAGAGTCTAACTCTTGGGTGGATAGCCCAGAGTGGACTACTCCCCCCCACCCGAACTCATCAGCCCCCCCCCCAATTCGATTCGAACAATGAGAACCCCCCCCCCATTCGAAGAACAACACCCCCCCCCCCCCAATTGGAACAATAATCCTCCCCCCCCCCCCCCAACCTCCCAATCGAACAATACTACCCCCCCCCCCAATTCAAATAATCCCCCGAACAACCACCCCCCCACCCCCACTCCGCTTTTGGGCGGGTATGCCTAGCTGCCTAGCTCTTGGCCCCAAGCGGCACACCATCTCTGCGGAACTCTGCTCTCTCTGATGCTGCTCCTGGCAGCATGCCGGCCAAGCGGCTTACACATCTGAAGATCGGGAGTTGGGCGTCCATCTGCAAACATATGGGGATTCATCAATATTCCTGGCCTCCAAACCGAGCACGACCGCAGAGGTCACTTTTTCCCGATTTAGCGGAAAAAAAACTTAGTGGTTTTCCAACCAATGGTCATCCCATGTTCATCGGACAAAGATGTCACCGACCAGGTACTTTCTTGTTCTCATTGATCACGCCAGGCATGCCAGCATGCCAGCCGCATGAATCAGATGAGGCTGTTATGCTTACCAGCATTGGCCACAACAAAGTGACTGCATAGCCATCACAAGAATCTGGGCAGCACTTGCTACTAGTATGTGATGTCTTACCACCTGAAGAGATGGATGCTGTGAGTGGTGCTTTTCCTTAGTGTAACTCGTTTTGCAAACGTAGAAATCAGAAACAGGTTACTTTACAGCAAAGCAACTGCAATGATAGAGGGATTATAGAGTTTTGGGAGGGGGAAAAAGCAAAAATATCAGTCAGCATGTCTATCTTAAGCCAGGATTTAAATAAGAACTTCTCTGCACATAAGAGGATGATTTAACTTCAATAGCCCTTTGCACATACTTTGATACGGAACGAATTCAGTGAGGTTATGTTTGTCTTAACAGACCTCTTTTAAAAGGGGCAGGCCGACTGATGGAAATAAAGATAACTTCTTTCTGTGTCAAGTTCCATTCAAAATCTAGTCAGACGTTAAACACCATGTTTGGACATGAAATCTCATTGAAGCTTCAGCTTGAAATAGAAATTTTACTTGAATTGTGTTCTGCGACATTCAATTTCAAATAGTTGAAAGCCGTAAAGAGTTCTTACTTCTAAAGAGGGGCAGGCTGGGTGAGTTCGTGCAGGTGCTATTTGGCGTGTGCTCAAGGTGCTGTGGCAGTGCCTGTTCTGCGATGCAGTCAGGGTGCTGTTGCGGGTGCTGGTCGGGGATGTGTTGGGTGCTGGTCAGGGTGCTCTTTGCGTGCTTAAGGTGCTGTGGTGGTTACTAGCGGTGCTTGTTCTGCGATGCAGGGTGCTGGTCAAAGTGGTGCCGGTAGAGGTGCTGTTTGGGGTGAGGGTGCTTTTTCTTGTGCTCAAGGTGCGAGGGCAGTCGCTGTTGCTTGTTTTGCGCTGCAGGCAGGGCGCTACTGTGGGTGCTGGTCACGGTGCTGTTTGGCGTGCTCAAGGTGCAGTGGCACCTGCTCGTGGTGATTTTTTGGCGATGAGGGCAGGGTGTTGTGGTGGGTGCTAGTGAGGGTGCTCTTTGGCATGATCGTGGTGTGATGGTTGCTGGCAGTGCTTATTTGGCGACATAGTCAGGGTACTTGTGCTTGTGATGTGCTCAAGGTGCGGTGGCAGCTGGTGATGCTTGTTTGGAGTGCATGCAGGGTGCTGGTGCGGGTTAGGATGCTTCTTGGTGAGCTTGAGGTGGTGTGGTGGTTGCTGTCAGTGCTTGTTTGGCGATGCAGCCAGGGTGCTGGTCAGAGAGCTATTGCAATCTCCCATGCTATCTAGGCTCTATGCTGGTCAAAATTTAGGGACCCCCGCCAAAAAAACAAACAAACAAAAAAAACAAGTAAATAAGAAAAGCAAGGTTTCCCTTGGTTGTTCCTTCAGAAAGCCAAGAACCGCGAAGAAACACACCCAGGAGCCAAGCCGCTTGAAGATCCCCTCCGCTTGGCCTCCACGAGCTGCTGGCCCAGGCGATCCCCACGGGTCCTGAGCAGTGCGGCTGGACCCATGGGCCATGGTGACCCATGTGGCCGTGGGTCAAAACCCAGAACCGCTAGTGAACATCAAATGAGTACATGGGTGTTCATCCGCTCCAAAATGGAGGCATAAGTTATGACCCATGGCCATGACGGTGGTCAAAAATCGGGTACCCCCAAAACGGGCTGGGGTAAGTGTCGGAAACAGGGACGAGTTCCGTGGTCCAATTCCTGGTTGAAGTTTGATCCCCAATTCCATGCCCTCTGATCCTGACCTTCCGATCCTGTGGGCCATGGGACTCAAAAGTGGCCTCGCAAGTTCTCCAAAGCCTCGAGACTTCACTCTCCAAAAGGTGTTTTTTTGTTTTTCTTCGGTAAATTTGATTGAGATCACTTCACAAAAGTGTGCTTCTTCGGCAAGTTTGAGATGATCCCACTGTTGAGTCGGAACGCAGACTTTGCGGATGGGGCCGAATTAGAAGCAAGGCAACACCATTCGCCCAAGTTGACCGACAAGCCACACTGCAGCTCTGGGAACCCAGCGACACCTCCGCCACCTCTTCGCCACATTGTCTAAGGCCAGCCTAAGATGCGACGAACCAACCGGCTGAAGGCGCTTTGCTTGACGAGCGAATCGGTTGCTCGATGTTTAGGGCCATGGCTTCAGAAACCCTTGCTCGGCCTAGCGCTTTCACCTCATTCGCACACCTTCTCGGCACCAGACGAATAACACACCACCCGACGCTTACCTAGCTTCCCAAGTTTAGGTGAAGGAGTCAACTGGGTGTGTCTCTTTCTAGGGGCAACAAAAACATGAACAAAAAAATGGTTGGTCTCTGTTGAGTTTCCCTTCAAAGCCACAGGTGTGTCTCTTCTTAGGGTTTTAAAAATACCCCACAAAAATGGTTGGTCTCCTTGGAATTTTCCTTCAAGGGACCTTTAAAAGAACCCGGACCCCAACTTTGGGTGGTTTCCGAGTTGCCTCCAGAAGCTGCAGGGACTTCTCCAGCTCCTTCCGCTGACCCTGCAGCACCTGGCGCGACTGCCGTCAGACCCAGACAAAATGATGCCCTGAAGCAGTCCATGTTTCGCATGTCGTGGTTTGGGGTGGACACCCCAATAGAACTTCCAACTTGAAGCAGGCGGAAATTCCGAGTTGCTCCCTTTTGCTTTCCAACCATCGCGGGTCAAAGAATGATTTGCCGCTTTCAGAGAGAGCCATTTGCTTTTTGGTTGGAATCTGCGGGGACTCCTGCCAATCACAATAACGGCGCTTCGCCAGGACGAAGCTCTGGCGATCGACCCAGTTGCCCACTGGTCACTACTGCATCAGCAAAGAGCAGCATATTCGTGCGGAGACGGCATGGCTAACCACGGTTGCGCGTTCCTTGCTGCCCTCGACTCAGCATTACAACTGAAAACTCCTCACTGCATGCCCGCACGAAAGGGCTCAGCGAGTCACTGCCATCCCCTCATTTCGATGCTTGGAGTGGCACTTGCTCACCTTCTCGCATGCGCTTCTGATTCCTCAAGTCCCTGAAACACTTCCTTGGGGCCCACAAAAACGTGGTTGACGTTGGAAGGGGAGCATAAATCTAAAAAAAATAGCAGAGTTAAGTGGGGATGTCCCACTAAACCACAATAAGCAAAAACGTAAAATAATTCCCAACAACAACCATGAAAACCGGCCCCCTTTTTTTGGGGGGGGGGTAGGTGGGTGGCTTTTTGAGTCGCCAACCCCCTTGGGCATCCAACCCCCCCCCCCCATTTCTCTCGCCTCCACACATCCCTGCTGCTCCACAAGCTGCTTCTCAAGCTCCGGCCTTCCGATGACACCGAACCTCCCACTCTGCGGTCTCAGCCCAAAGGACCTGGGACTAAAAACCTTTTGGGGCCATGACTTCGACAGGCGAGCGGGGGCCATGAGCGAGACGCCGCACGCAGAGTGAGAGTGGTTTTTGGGGCCATGACGAAATATGGACCAAATTGGAAAAACCAAAAGGTCAAAAGGTCGGTTCGCTTTGAACAACTGAGGGTTGTGACGTCACCCATGTATCTGGCTGCAGGTTCCCGGTCGGGCTCCCCGATTTTTCCGGCTTGGGGACATATGGCTGTGGTTGTCAAAACCGTGTTGGGATCCCAGTTTGGGGTAGGTGGAATTCACCACCCATTTTAGAACCGATTTTAGTGGTTGGATTGGGATGTTCACTGGGGGTACGATTTGGATTTTGACCCATGGCCACTTGGCAACCAACAATACGCCCCAAAAAGGCTGGCACCATGTAGCCAGACCATGGATGTTCACTGGGGGTACGATTTGGATTTTGACCCATGGCCACTTGGCAACCAAGACTGCGCCCCAATATGCTGGCACCACGTAGCCAGACCATGGCAAAAGACATGGCGAGTCAAATTGGGGCAAAGATGCTGGTGTCATTGTCAACGCATTGTAAAACTTGCAATCACCTGTCAAGTTTCATTAGTTGTGTGCCAAAATGTTCAGTACAGTGTGTCAAAAGTGTCAACAATATTGTCAAAAGATTGTCAAGCTTGCAATCACACACTTGTCAAGAAATGTGCAAACATTGTCAAGACTGTGTGTCAAAATTGTCAAACATGGTGCCAAAATGGTTAATTCATTGTCAAACCAAATTTCACTGTGTCAACCTTATCAAAACCACTGCCCAAGTTGTCAAAAAACCGTGTGCCAAACAGAATGCGAGTCAAAAGTGTCAAACATGGTGTCAAAATGGTCTAGCACGGTGTCAATAGTGTCGAAATTGCCGAAAGGACGTGAAAATGGCGGAGAAATGCCGCAAAATGGCCCACCATTGTGTCGACAACTGGCAAACGTGTCCGACTCCAACTAGTCGGCTTCCAGGACGGATGAATGATGAAACGCAAAGTTTTGGTCGAATTCTCCCTGCTTCCCAGTGAACAGTTGTGAGAAAACACTCAGTTGCCTGCGCAAAAAACAAGGACTGCGCAAGTTTCTGCTTCGCTCAGCTGCTAGGGAGAGACTTCTCATGAGTTGGGCATGCTGTCAGTACCTGCCACCAGCTCGACAGAGCATGTTCATGGACTCCGAGCTGGATAAACCCAGCTAACCCTCCCAACCCAAAACAGGTTTGATTCTGGTGCATGTTTGGGCCCCCCCCAAAAAAAAAAAACACAAAAAAAGAGCTCCGAGAAAGGGACAGTCTAGGGGCCTTGCATCCTTTCCAGGGTGCAAAGCCGCTCCCGGAGGGCAGCCTGGAGACGCATCAAACGGCAGGGGTCTTATGTGGGCATGTGAACATCATTTACGTGGGGAGACGTGGGGAGTTTTGTCCACCAAGCACTTCTCAGGAGGTTCCCCATTAAATTCATGGCCATGTATTGCCAACCTGAAGACCACCCCATTTCTCCGGCCCCCCGCCAAGTTTTGTTTCTGGGAGTTGATGTTGGTCTGAGTGAAAAGGGAATGTGTTCAATGAGCAAGTTGTATCTGCCTAGCCCTGTTTCGACCGAAACGCAGGCATGCACTCACGCACAAGGCATGAAATGTCTCAGGCAATCAACAGGAAATCTTTCATCACTACAATTGGCGGACACTGCAAGCGGAGGGAGATCTTTAGCAGCCGCTGCCTTATTTCCGAACCACCAGGAGATGGCTGAACCAGCCTGCGCGCCAGCCAACTCAGCGTCCAGAAGCTTGCGCACCTCCCCAGCATTCAAGGCCTCGCGTGACACTGCGCTCCCTACTCAGCCTTCATGGTTTGCATATCCCCACATGGCTGTGGTTGTCAAAATAGGTCAAAATGGAAGCCTAAATGGAAACAAGGAAGAACTAACCTGCGGTCCAATTCCTGGTGGTTCAATTTTTCCCCGGAGCCTCTTTTTTCTCCACTGAAAAAAACACATGCTGGCCAAACTAGGTAGAGGTTAGACTAAGGGTACCAACTTTTTTCTGTAGTCTAGTTTGGTAGGGGAACCGAATCTCCCAACCAAAATCGGGGTGAGAGGTCGGGCATTTCGTCTCCGCGGCTCACTCTCCGAGGCCCCTTCCTGGCGCTCGCAGAGGCCCAGCCGACTTTGCAGCTGCTCCAGGTCCTAGGTGTGTGGCCGGCTCGGATCTCGGAACCCTTGAGCCGGGAGGGAAACGAAAGGAAAGCCAAAATCCATTTCCTGGACCCCCCAATGGCTGGCAACTAACCCCAAAACACCCATTGGGAGGTCATTTCACAGAGCATTTGCCAGTTGGGGGGCAACCCTGTCATCGCAAATCAAGAGATCAATCAGACATGTGCCTGCCAATTGGAGTTCCAAAGGGCCGGGTAGAGCCGTAGGGCCCCAACGCCTCGCACGGGCTCCAAGATGTCCTTGTTCACGTGCGCCTCCGGTGAGGCTCATGAAGTGTATGGGGCAATAGTGACACTCCGGTTGGGGTCATTTGAAAAGGTGTCCCCCTGAAACAGGAAGGGGGCGATGTCTGCAAGTCGGCTGGTGAATCGAGCGACAAAGCTATTCGCAAACAAGAATTATTGGAGGCTTCGCCTCCCAAGCTTTAAGTGATGTTGCGATCACCGACCACTGCGAGCCGAGGATGGAAGGGAGGGCTTTCAAAACCGAATGGCACGGGAAACTCAGCCCACTGTTTCCTTGAAGTCAAGTCCTTGAAGTCACATGCTTCCTTGAAGTCACATGCTGTGCACTATTGATCCAGTCCTCACTATGTTCCAGTCTTGAGCATTCTCAGAACTTGAGATGCACTAGATTTCTTTAAATATGCAGCCCTATCACAACAAAGAGGAGGTCAACAGCCAGCGCAACCAGAAGTGTCTCACGCATTGGCAATGACACAATTCGCTGCAAACACATCATTCATCCCTAAAACAAGATCATTTGCTGGCAATCGCTAGTGTACATCACAGCCAAAGCAGCTTGAAGAGGGTCGAAAGGTTCACCTCATTGTGTCTTTCTTCATGACTTGGACCCCCAAAAATGGCTTCGGCTTCCTGTTGGTCCCCCATTTCAAGCCACAACAACAAGAAAACAATAGGGGAGCCCCTCCCCCCAAAAAAGGTGGTTTCCTTTTTGGGTTCCCCCATTTAAAGCCAGAAAACACCATGAACCGCACCCACAAAAAGACAACGCCAGCGCTCCTCCCAGCCCCCGGCCCCCCGGCCCCCAGCTCAATGAATCAAGCGTCGCCTCCAGGCGTCGCTCCAGGCCCTCCAGTCGCTGGCCGCTGACCGCCAGCTGGCCCTCGAGCTCCGCCTCAATTTTTCGGCCCACGGCCAAGTGCCCCTCCGTCTGCCCGCGAGTCACATGGGAAAAAAAAATGCGCTCAAGGTCCTTGGGCTCATTTTGGCCTATTCTAGGCCCCGCAAAAGGAAGACATTGGGGTGTGTGTACCCCCAGTGTGAACATCCCAATCCAACCACTAAAACACCTACCCAAAAATGGCACCATTGGTTTTGACTCCCCACAGCCACATGGGAAAAAAAAGCTGCGCATGTGCGTTTTACCTTGGGCTCGCTCATTTTGTGGCCTATTTTCTTGGCCCCGCAAAAGGAGGATATTTGTTGGTGTGGTGTTCGGGTGTATGGTGAAATCCTTTGACTATACAGTTGGTTTGTTTCAGCTCCAAGTCCAATGGATGCCCGCCAAAAAAAAAAAAAAAACGTCAGGAGAGAAAGTAGTTGCAGCAACACAGCAATAACAAGAAGAAAGGGTAGACAGGGTGGATTCCCTTCGAGGTGGTAAATAGCCACGGACTGCAATGAATCCGAGGGGTTCCCGGCTGCCAACTTGCAGCCTTTAGGAAGCCCACAAATGCGAAACATTCTGATAAAATACATCGGTCTACAGGAAACGTGGCAAAAGCTGCCGAACTCTCCTACTTTCATAGCAAGATCTCCTGCGTGATACCCGCCATCGCCGAATCACATCCCACAGAGGATGTAAAACACGCGTGGCAGGGGGCAAGGAGTAAATAGTACGACATCGTGCTGTGCTTAAGGCACTGTCAGTCATTCAACTTGAGCAAGAAAGCTGTGCAATCAATGCCAGACAAAAATCAACGCGACCAAGCGTGTTGCGCCAAGCCTGATGGTAGGCATCTTTGGCCACCTTGTTAATGTTCAACATGTCACCTTATGAAAGCGGCGCAGTCGTCCTCCAAGAATCATAGATGCGACGTGTGTGAGTTCGGGTGCTGGGAACCCCGCGCATTGGCTGCTTTATCTTTGTTTGCCAAAGATGCTCAAGACATGAACAAAAGCACCCCCTTGAACTTCGCCCATGGCCGGCCTTGTCACCGGCCCGGGCGCGCCCCACCTGCTGGGAATGACAAACGAATCACAAAGTCAGTATAACATGGGTATAGGTGAGAAGTAAACCACCAGGAATTGGACCACAGGTTAAATCGTCCCTGGCTCCATTTACCAGGCCAACCCCTCTTCCTATTACCCCATTAGAGCAAGAATTGCCTCTGCCGTTTGACGCGTGGTAGCCCGTTCTGGATTGCGCGTTGGGCGACTACAGCACCCCCTGTGACACGTCTGACAGCCAGCGTTGCACGTCCTGGCCGGTCTGAAGTTTCATTGAAGCACGAGCTGTGTGGCGCCTTTGCAGGTTGGGCGAACGCGGCAACTACGAGCAACCAAGGACTTCAGGCCACCACGGACGGATGCCCACGCAATTGGCAACCGGACCAAAATGCAGTGGACGGCGAGCACTGGCACGTGCTGGAGCTTTGCCGTCAAGTCCTGCTCTGTGAAGGGGGCGAGGAGGGTGGCCGCACAAAAATCGACGCCTGTATCAGCCACGGACCTTTGCTTTGGCACAGGTTGATGACCAAAGACATCCCGTGCCAGGCAATCAGCCTTGGGAACCTGCAGAACGCAAGAGGCTGATCCGGAACCGAACCTAATGCTGTTGTGCGCAATTGCCTCCTGGCGAAAAGACGGCGAACACGTTTGGAGCCAAAGCCGTATTTGGCATGCATTGCCTAAGCGCTTTGCCTGCGCCTTTCAGGTTGGCACTAGCACACAGCCTGTATCCAGTGCAATACAAGCTTGCGGAGAAGTCGCGGTTTTCACAGCACCCGCAAAGGCGTCGCTTCGAACCGCATGGACGTGTCCAGCTCTGCATCTGGGGTCGGTCTCGTAAGCGTGTGGCTTGTCCTTCGGATTCCCTGTCATCCAAGATTAAACAGAGCCCTGAAAAAACACACACACACACACACACACCAATCTGGGCCAGGATAGAACGACAGCTCTGTCATCGATGTTTAGCAATATGATCAACACGAGTGATGACGTGCACAGGAACATGGCGGGACTCATTCACCCCGCATGCAATAGTTGCCTGATCCATTGAAGAGAACTGCGACGGACTGCAGGTCTCCAAGATAAAACCCTGCTGAACGACACGCATTGCCGCATGGCTAGGAGTTGCCAACCACAAGAGGACGTACCAGGTGTGCGCCTACCAATTCCTGTTGCCAAGAACTGGTACATTGACTCACGCTGTCCGCGGGCGCTGAGCATGAACCCACCTTTTCCATCCAAATCAGCAACACTTGGCCGGTAACCCACCACGTCAAGGAGGCCCTGGCTGTTCTACCAGAGGCTGCGAAGCTTGAACCCAAGGCAGTTGCAAGTGATCCCTCTAAAAACTTAGGGGGAACCGAATGCACCACCCGCGCCAAAGTTCTCAACAAGCACGCACACAAATGCAAGCGCGCACACACACACAACGTACATATATGTACAGATATAGATGCATTTCTCGCTGCTATACAAGAGGCAACCCTGTGCTTCAAAAGAACACCGGCCTACCCACACCTTCCGTTTGGACCTTCACTTTGAAAAGCCAATGCGATTCCTAACATCAGAAAAATGAACAACTCGGCAACACGACTGGCTCATTCCGCTGGCCATGGCTCAAAACCCCGTACCCCCAGTGAACATCCCAATCCCCACTAAAATGGGTTCTAAAATGCAAGTGCACCTAGCCCAAAATGCGATCCCAACACGGTTTTGACAACCACAGCCAGCTCAGTACCCGCAAACCAAGCAGATCGGAAACGCCGCGGCCTCCTCCAGGCGCTGCTCCGACGCGCAGGCGCCCACTCGCGCGTCCAGCTCCTCCAGCCTCGGGGCGCAGGCATCTCCAATTTGTGGGGCAATAGGGTAACCCCAAATGGAAACAAGGACTAAACTCTGCGGTCTGTTGGTTGAATTTGCCCCATCTCCAATTGAGAGATTGCTTGCTTTGGGCAAGCTGAAGCGTCACCTATGTGAGCAAAGGCACGCAGCCAAGCCGCTCTGAGGAATAGAAAGGTTCAGGCGGAGGGATGGGGGGAGGTAAGAGAGGCGGGGAGAGGGCCATCACCCATCATTTGATCTCCATCCTCTCCAACTTCTCGCCCCACCGTTCCATCTCTTGCACTCTCCATTAGAATGCTGTAGGTGAAAGATGTCAAGGAAAGGAGAAGAGATGGAGAGCATACCAACTCTTTATCTTGGAAGCAGAGGTTGGGTGAGTGAGGAACCATCCTTGTCTTTCAAGCTCTATCACTTCATTCTTACAGTTGGACCACACGTGAATTTGACGGCCTCACGATTGATCACCTGCACTCCTTCCTTCTCTGAGTTTCGCTTCTTGCTCTGGGCTAGTCTGTCTTGCAACCACCAGTTGGTTGGTCTTTCCAACATCATCTTGACACATGGCGTTGCGCCTTGCCAGTGACACGCGGCACAAAAGGCCACTACCGAGTGATTAGAGGGAGGGCACCAAGGTTTTCCGGAACCTCGACATAAGGGCATCCTGTTGTTCCGACAATCCGCACATTTAAGACATCTCAAATCCACATACAAACAATCAACCCAACAACCACAAAGCAAGCAAGCAAGCAAACAATCAAACAAACAATCAAACAAACAACCACAAAGCAAGCAAGCAAGCAAACAAACAATCCCTATCCCAGGCGCCTAGGGTCAATAAAAGTTCGGTTGTCTCAGTTCCGTGGATCTGCCAAACGAACGTCCTCTAGAGCAAAAAAATGTATTTCCAATCTTTTAAAGTTTAGTAATTCGAAACACGCAGCGGCGAAACTTCCAAAGTCTGGACCTCGGACCGAGTTCTCGCGACTTGGCCATTGGTCAAAATCCAAATCGTACCCCCGGTGAACATCCCAATCCCCACTAAAATAGGTCCTAAAATGGGTGGTGAATTCACCTACCAACCAAAATGGGATCCCAAGACGGTTTTGACTCGACCCACTGCCACTTGACTTTGGGAAATCCGACCGACTTCCTCTCCGCGCCTCGTGGCTGCGCGGCCGCCGCTGGCGCGGAGCTCTCGGTAGTGCTCCGCCTCCACCTGGCCGCGGAGTCCCATCGAGTGGAGTGGAACTAAAAAAGGTCGAAGCTTGTCATTTACCACTAAAACGCTCTTCCAAAAAAAGTGGGTCTCAAGTCCAGGTTTTGAGGGAGGGAGGTTTCTTTGTGCTGGCCCAAGATGATCCATAAAAAGGGCATCCTCGGCAAAAAATTGGCCATTTGCTGGTGCAGTCGGGACAAAGGATACCTTGCATCTCATGGGACCCTCTCTTGCAATGGCAGATGCTGCCTTTGGGTTCAGCTGAAATGTCCAAATTAGCAGCTTGAGAGGCTAAGTTGTACTAATTGTGCTGGCCGCTGAGGGAATCTGCAATCTGAAAGAGCATGCGCTGTCGTCCAGAATCTCCGCTTGCCGGGTCGGACTGCTCATTTCAAAAACTGCTCGCTGATATAGCGGCGGCGGCCGCTGATCTTCATTTTCCGATGATGCGCAACACGACCGAAGGAGCCCTTTTTGACTTGGTGCCATAGGCAGGGAACGAGGGAATGACCCCTATAAACCTTGCCCTATGGTTTCCTTTACGGGAATCCTTAGGTTCATTTCCCTCATTTGCTGAGCACCAGCAAGTTGAACTCGAATCTAGAACCAAACAAACAGCAGAGACTTGGATTTGGATTCCACTGCATGTTTCGGTCACATGGCGGCGCCCGGTTTTCATGCTGAATTCGAGAGCACAAAACAGGCGTTGCAGTAGGGTACGGAAAGCTCTCCATGGCCAAATTGACCAAACTCTTGAGCCCCCTTCCAAGCATCTAACATCTCAAAATAAGGATCTACATAATTATTTCACCATTGGACATATTCACTCATGGATACGACCACACACACTCTGACACTCTGCCAGATCTCAAGTTCATGCGATGAGAACGCACTGCCAATCAACACTTCTACAACAAACACGAACAGCGGTCGACACCCAGCGACGCCTGCTCCAGCTCCCTAGTGCACTCCTCGCACGGCTCAGAAGGAGGTGAGCATCAAAAAGGTACAGTATCACGTTAGAGCCTTCTCCACTGGAGGTCTCATGTTTTGCCACATATGGGAGGTGGCCTTTTTTCTAATGGTAATTGCTCCCTTTTTGCGGGTGTTCAATGGAAACCAAAAGGAAAACCGTGGGTCCGGTTAAACAAAGACAGACCCATATGGCAACATCAGGGAGTGAAGCCCAAGGGTTTCAAACCCGACATCCCACGCCCTTGCGCCCGGAAACTCGGCCTGAAGCTCCTTCTGCTGTGCTCGGACACCGGCGAAGTCCACCTCCAACCAGACTTGATGACTGATGCTGGGTCGGGACCCGCAAAAATATCCACCGGGTCTGCAATTTGTTGGAGGCAGACCTGTGGATTGCGAAGAAAAGTGCGAAAAGTGTGCGCAAAAAGAGTGCAACAATTGGTGACTCCGCAGTCAGGCATCCAAACTCCGGCTCTCTGTCTTCACAGGCCGATGTAGTCCCTTGTCTCATGGCTAGTCTTATGATAAGGTTGACTGGAAATGTGCCAAGCGCCAGATGTGCTCTGTGAATTGAAATAGGGTAGAGCAACAGCACCAAACGACCTGCCATCAGTTTCCGACACCTTGAGCATGTGCACCCTCGTCCTTTCCTCTTGCAAGAGAAGGCCTTGCAACAGAGAGCCATTCGATTGAGACACACGCCCCAACTGCCCCACCTGCCTGCAACGCTTTCAGCGCTGACCGCGACTCCGCAATCTCCTGTCGCGGAAAGTCAAGACAGTGCTGGTCTATCAATCCTTTCCCTTGTAGGTGGCTTCCATGCATCGTGCCGTATCCCGAAGACACAAAGATGCTCTGAAGCCATCCTGGTGAGTCTCGAAGGGATCTACACCCCCAGGAAAGTTTGAGAGCTCCGGCTTGAACAAATCCGTTCAGCATTGATCCGGTGACCCCAAAATAGCCAGAAATTCGAGCGGAAAGCTGTGTGGCTATGAAATTAAATAGGAACCCCTCAACAGCGGTTGCTGGACATAAATCCTCACCTTAATGATGTCCACCAAAAGGTCCCCGATTAAAGTCATGCCCGTAGCACCAAGTTCAAGAGGACTCTAAAATCAAACACGCGACAGGGTACCTACGTCTAATTGCCTTGCCCGATTCATGAATCGGAAATGGCACAGCAAACTTGTTGGAGAGGGCAGTTCGCGCAAATGTGGCGGAACACGACTTATCGCTCGAGCTCAGGTTCGCCACGTTCTCCGCTTTACACTTGAGTCACCAGTCCCTCAAGTCCTGCCCTCCAGCAAACCAAGCGGCCGTTGTCTGAATCGACTGCAGAGGGCTCAAACCCAACGTGTCAAAAGTAGGGCTTGATCCTTCTTGCCGGTTTCCTTTGCCAAGGTCCCGAAATTTCAATTGGGCACTGGGCATCATTTTCCCTGACACTAGCATCGCACCTGACAAAGGCTCCCTTGAGGCAATTCATCTTCCAGGTGCCCTTCCTGACAAATGCTATGTTGCTGGGAGCGCAATTCAGAATTCATCTTCCGGATCCCCTCCCAGAAATGCTATGTTGATTAAAGGAAGGACCGGGGGAGTTGCGTTCATCTGCTTTCGAGCTCGAGTGTCAAGTGGTCCCGCCTCCTGGCAAGACTGCACCACCGAGAGTGCGCTGGTGCGGAGCTGGTCCAAGCGCTGACTCAAGGTGCCCTGCGCGTCTCTCGCTTCGGGACGCGGCTCACGTCCTTCTTAGGGCTTGGCTTGGCCCCATGTAGGAATGTAAACAGCCCTGCAGTCTGGGTGAACTACAATTCAAAAACCGAAAATGCGGGGGAAGTCGTAAATGAGGCCGCAAACTCCATTTCAGCCTGGCCTCTTCGCTTGGAGCTGTTTTCTGGCGAACATTGACTAGCAAATACAACAAAAATAGCGTTGCAGAAGAGGTTGCTCATCCAGCGCTGAGGTTTCTGTTGAAGAGCTGAAACAAAGCACAACTCTGATTTGTCTCGTCAGTTGGAGTCATCCTTCTTGCTCACTCATTCAAATCGCACGCAGCTCCTTTCGCTTTGCGAGCTTACTGACAGCAAGAACTCTGAAAAATCAGCAGCAGCCACAAATGTTCAACTTGCATCGCGTATACGCTTCGAATTTGACTACAGCGTCGACACATGTTGGATCATGTTGGGTTCAACTCCCGGAGATGCGTGCAAATGCCAGGTTGAGCAGAAATATCCCGTCCTAGCTCGAAAATGGCAAGTGCTATTCATACTTAGTGCGGGGCCTTCTTGGCCTTGTGTCTTTTCTCTTCCCCTGCTCCAACTCATCGCATGGGAAACTGACGTCCAAAACGAACCACCGAAATAATCTTGCCGAAATGGATCCAATCAAGTCGACCACTGGCTGACACAAGGGGAATTGTGGGAAAATTGTTGGGATGCCGTCCAATTTGTGCAAGGTACAGTTGCGGAATCCGATGCCATGGCGCTTGCTGGCTGAATACTTGCAACTCGGCGAATGCAGCGCTCAGCACAGCGAGTGGCACTTGCCAACCTCGAATCTTGGTGGCCCCTTAAAAAGACGCACGCAGTACGCCTAACACCCCGCCTGGTTCTCAGCTTGCAGCTCCGAGTCTTTGGAAAGCCTCGCGTGTTGCTGGCTGGCTGTCATCGGTGCTGCGAGAGAAATGCTGTGGCTCAGCGGCTGCATGATACTGACACGCAACGGATAGCGAGGCAAAAACAAAGAATTGAAATGGTGGACAGCTCTAAGCTGGTTCCTTCCATCGGCCTTATCTGACAAGTCACGCCTTTCGAAAGAAGAAAGCAAAGATCCCTCGTTTTTTCCCTGGTCAGCTAAGCAGCCGACGAAAGGAAGAACACTCTTCAACAGGATCCGGTCTTTTGACCGGAACCCCCAAGCCAGTCACTTTGGGCACGCCTGGACACAGCTCGCGACGTCTCCTCCGCAGCCTGCTGCTGCGCCTGGCGAGGGAGAGGAAGTTCGGGCGGCCCAAGAGATTGCATGGGTGTGCCTTCTAGGAGTCCCTTTTTGGGGATTGGTTTAAAGGGAAACCACAAGTAAAAGGAAAACCACCAGTTTGGAGGTGTTTTAGAAGAAGACACCCCAATGGGTCTAATGGGTCTTGATTTCCCACCAAACTGCTCTGAAGTGTTGGACCACAGAAAAGCAGCTCACTTTTTGGATGCGGGGGATGCGTACCAAGTTGTTTGAGGTACTCCTTTTAGCGCAAAAACTTATCCGGGGTAGAATCGTCTTTCGGATTGCAGCGCCTTGGAGGTTCACGGTTCTCTCTACAAGGGAGTGGCCACCTTACTTGGCACCGTGCTCTTGGTGACGTCACACTGTGCAAGGTCCCGTGCACACAAACACACACACAAACACAAACACAAACACAAACACAAACACAAACACAAACACAAACACAAACACAAACACAAACACAAATGCACACACACACACACCACACACCACACACCACACACCACACACCACACACCACGCACCACACACCACACACCACACACCACACACCACACACCACACACCACACACCACACACCACACACCACACACCACACACCACACACCACACACCATACACCACACACATCAACCGGACAACACACCACCACCACCACCACACACCACACACAACACGCCACACCACCAACACACACCACACACACACACACACGCAACGCACGCGCGCACGCACACACACACACACAGACATACACACGCACACACAAACACACACACACACACACACACTCTTAAGCTCCCGCAGGAGGAATCTGATCAGTTCGAGTGGCTGTCGAGTGGGTTGATTCGAGTGGCGAGTCATCTCTCAAAAGCTTCCCTCTACTTGTTTGAAATAGGAAAACAGAGAAGAAACAGCGGTTCAGGAGGGGACCAAACGCACCTTCAGAACACCACAACCTTGTCCAAATGCAGCTACAGGATTCCCATCCCACGACACCATTAGCTTCGTTGGCCAGTGTCATGGTGTCGCGCGCTGAACTGACACTCAGCACACACTCAGCACACACTCAGCACACACACACACACACACTCAACACACACACACACACACGCGCGCGCACACACACACACACGCACGCACGCACGCACGCACGCACCCACACACACACACAGACAGACACAGACACAGACACAGGCACAGACACAGACACCCCGCAAAGGTTCGAGGGAAGAGAACAGGGTGACCCTCAGAAGCTGCCCTTGGGATTTTGGCCTGTGGCCCGGAGATTCTTAGCAAGAAGCATTGCCCTGCTGACGACCCATGCCTTCTCCAAGCCCTGCGGCGGAAACTGAACCCCTACAGTCGATGGCCCTGCCTTCGCATACGACGGCTCCTGGTGGTTTAATTTCTGGGAGTTGCCTTCCCGTCACCCTCCACAAAACGCAACTCGCATTGACGAGGAGCACTACAGCTATAGCCTTGACTCGTGTTGGTCTCACAACAAACGGGTCTCCTGGCGCACGCCTTCGACGCCTTGGCCTTCCACTGCCCGACCAGTCGCGCCAGGGGACAATCGGCGAGCAGTGGCCCAGCTGGCGCAATGCGTTCGCCCTTCGCCTTCCGTGTACCATTCACACTGCCTGCATCAACAAGCCTGCATCAACGAGCTGCCCAGGTCGTGGTACATGGATGATCAACGCCGCATTTGCTGCGCTTTGCCATACGCTGCGCGCAATTGCCCTCACAATTCAGCATGTGGCCGCATTATTGATCAGTACAGAGCCTTGTGTGATGATACTCACACCTCGCATTTCTGCAGCAGGTGCTTTGAACGTATGCCCTGAGGGGTACGCACTCCACCCGCACCGCCTTGTAAGCCATTTCGCCTTGACGACAGACAAATCAGCAAAGGAAGGGCACTGCACATAGCACTCGCTGTTGCTTGCTTGCACTTGTTGGTTCACCACCTTGTGGGACCCCTTTCGATGTGCACAACTCTTGTTGACATTTGACTGTTGACATTCATGGAATGTGTGCAGTCGCCTTGCCCGCGGTGTGGATTACGCGCAGCACGGAGAAAAGGCATTCAAATCAGACCTGTCGCTCGCCTATTTGCCGATCCCCACATGGACGCACCCGTGCTTCCAACATTTATACGGCCTTTCCTGGACACGCACACACACACACACACACACACACACACACACACACACACCCTCGCTCGCTCGCTCGCTCGCTCGCTCGCTCGCTCGCTCGCTCGCACGCACCCACACACACACACACACACAGACGCACGCACGCACGCACGCACGCACGCACGCACGCTCGCACGCACGCACGCACCCACACACACACACACACACACACACACACTCTCACACATGCACATCAAACACATACACAGAGGCATGCATGCACACCCACCCCCACGCCCTTCCCGCCAGCCCGCACCCCGCCAGCCCACCCCACACGCCCCGGACTGTGGCTCCACCTGGCTCTGCTGCACGAGGTCCTCCAGCCGCGAGCGAAGAGCCGCCAAGGCGTCCCGATCGTCTCGATCGCCACGCCTGGAGCACAGGACCGGCTCCAATGAGGCCTAAGGACACGGCCACTCAAATAAGTTCAATCCTGCCACAAAGGCCAGCAAGTTGGAAGGGATCCGGAAAAACGGATTTTGGTACTCATGCAAATAAAACAAACCTGTCCAAATAAATCATGTGAATCCAATCAAATCAATCCAGTCTAACCCAACCAATCAGTGAATTCATTGAATCACGGAGGGATGTGCAGGTTCTGTATGCAAATCACCTTCGGTCTTGATTGTTCAAGCGCTGGGATGTTTCTGTTTGAGTGTCTAGGAACAAGTCTTCCAGAATCCTAAACACAGCCGCCCCCACCTTCTTGGCCCCAACGCGCCTGTCGCTCTCTAGGCTTGCTTGTATCTGTCGGATGAGCGCCTGGCTGGAAATGTTCAAACAGCACTTTGGGAAGCCGGAAGGAGCGCAACAGAGCAAGAACTTGACAGAGAAAGTGAAGCTGGAGCTTTCAACCGGCCCGCCAGCTTTCGGAGCTCCAAGACAACTAAGCCATTCGCCATCGCTTTGCCTTCAATCCTTTCATGGGCAAGGGAGCCTTGCAGACTTCGAATCTGGCGAGAGCTTTCGGGGCAAAATCAGTTCGATCTTAGACTCCCTGGAGCAAACTCCACGGTCTTCCCACGGGTGGAAATCCCATCTACAAACGATTCATACTCAAATACCCGCCAAGCTATGAAGGGATGTTGAAAAATTGACACCAGGTTCCAAAGGGATGCGTCCATGGCCATGTGAATGTACGTATCAATTCCGGATGGTGACCAGCCCTGAAAAAATCAAAGGAAATGATCCATTGTCTGGTTGGCTTCCATTCGAGGAACATGTACCCTCCCACCGATTAACATGGAACCTGACTTGGGGGTTCTTGGAAGACCAGTTTCCCTTTAGAGGGAAGCCCTGTCAGGTTCCATGTAAATTGACAGTTGTGGCAGATTTAGCAATCAAAACCTGGTATGAAAATGGTCTACCTAAAATCATGCTAGACAATTTTACAGGCGGCGGCAACTATTTTTGGCTGGGGTTCTCCCTTCCTAACCGGGTTTTGATTGTGGCTCACGTGGGTTTGATTTCCGCCTGTCAAAACAAAACCCGAAACGCAGAGCTCGGAGAGAGCTCGGAGAGAGCTCCGCCTCCTGCTGCTCGCACTTCTCGGCAGAAGCCAAGGAGCTGATTCTGGCGTGCAGGTCCTGAAAGCCGTCGGATTCATCGCTGATCGGAGAAGGCCTTCCATGACCTGATATTGTGTCACAATAGGTTGGGACCGTGACCCATTTGTTGGGTGCTTGTCCTTTTGTTCCTTGCCAGCCGAAGAAAAGGTAGCAAATAGAAGACGTGCAAAAGGTTCTTTCTGTACTAGACAAGGTCGTCAGACCAACCACAAACACCCCAACATGCAGTGAAAACAACGATGAGACTTAGGACACGAAGCATGTCACATGTTTCATGAAGGCAACATCAAGCAGAAAAATGCAGCGAGCACCAGGAACCTCTGCCTCTCCCTGACTCGAACCACCCTATCGGATCCTCCACCAAGGGCTCTTTCGCCTCCAGCCGTGCCACCTTCTCAGACCTCGGCATGTTCAGCAGCAAAGCTCGCAACACTTGCTGGCAAACCTTCCCCCATGGTTTCCTTCAAGGGAAACCATAGGTTCATTCCCAACACCCTGGGTCATTCCCTACTGAGCTCCAAAGGCTCCAGCCTGGAGCTACTCCGACCAGATACATCCGCCTTCCCTCATCTCTTTTTTAGGTTTCGATCGCTTTTGAAACTCACTGCTAAGGTCCAAGAGCTCAGCCATTGATCCAGTTGGAAAGGAATGTGCTTCCTAAACAACTGGAAACCAGATCCAATTTGTTGTGTGCAAAGCGCAGTTTAACAATTGGTTCAAAGAAAGATAGGACACTGTCCCCGTCAGCCGCCAAAGCCAATCGCGAGTCGTGGGCATTCTAGCTCCAACGCCATTTGTGCAGCTCAATCAAAACGCCAGCGATGGAAGAGCCAAGATTGTAGAAAATGCATTTAGTATCCGACGCCACACGTGCTCTCTGGCGCTTTACCACCCTGTCAGCGCTCTCCTCCATGTTGGTTGAGCCCAATGCTTTTCAAGACAGGTTGCCAGGCGCTGCATACGTTACGTTGCCACCTTGGCCTGATACTCTTCAAATCGTGTGGTGCTCTGACCAACCTATCACTTCAGGCGCTGGCCCCATGGATGCAAACCCTTGCAAGATGGTCAACCCGCTTTGGGCTCTCCCCTACTGGGTGCCAAACAGGCCTAGGAACGTCAAACTGGTCCTTTCCCTCTTAGGTTACTTGGGGAAATCCTCCAAGATGGTGAGTGTTGCTTTTGCCTTTAAACCAACCCCCAAAAAGCATTAGTACCAACCCAAAAAAAGGGGCGAGCCACCCCATTTCGCAGCGACCGTCCCCATATTCAAAGGCTTGCTTAAAAACGGTGTTTTGGGGCCTTGTTTCCCTGCAAAGGTTCCTGCAACCAAACCCTTTTGGCCTCTGCCATCCGCCCCAAACCCAGCGCTCCGTTCCGGTTCGATGGGGCTGTGGCTCAAAAAAATGTACCAGAATGGCTGTTTGGTACGTGGAGCCCAAGACTAAAGCCTGTGTAACCCACCCATGGGAACCTTCCCGAGGACCCCGGCAGCTGCGCCTGGCGCCCGGCCTCCGCGCCCAGCCGCTCCTCCAGCCGCTCCCATTTCCGCGCCTCCGCAGCCCTGGCCTGGGCCACCGACGAGCGACGCGACGAGCACTTCTCGGGCGGCTCGGGGGACGTCGCTCTGGGCGTCTGTCCTGGAAAGGAAACCTTTCAAGTTGGAGGGCTTTTTTGGGTGCTTGTTTTTTCTGAATCTGCAGGAAAGGTTCCCAAAAAGAAAGGAAACCTTTCAAGTCATGGGGCATTGTTCTTTACTGGGAACTTCCAGGAAAAATACCAAAACACAACGGGGCAAGGAAACAAAACCTTTCAAATGTTCAGGTCTTTCTGTCAGGTTTCAGGAAAAGTTCTGAGGCTTCAAGGGAGGGCCTTTTTTTCGCTTGGAATTTCCGGGAAAAGTTCCCAAAAGAAAGCTTTCAAGGGAGGGCATTTATTTTGGGAACTTCCAGGCATAATTACCCAAAACAAAACGGGAAGAATCCCAAACAAAATCCGGACCCAAGTTATAGTGGGGGTTCGTGTTGATGGCACACACTAGTAGGTAAGATGGGATGGCTGACAGGCCCACATCACTTTCAAGTTACCCGGCACCTTGTGGACCCCTTTGAAAGTTGTCACCGGGTTTGGGCCGTCTCAAACCTGGCTTGGCACAGTTCAGAGGCGGCTTAAAGTGCTGTTTCGGCCCTGGGCATGGTGATGTGTCCACTTTCGAAAGGTCAAAGAGCAAAGAACAAGAAGAGAAATGGCTGTGGGTCAAACATAGGTACCCAAAATGGAACCCTGGCAAATGGAAACATGGACTAGCACCTGCGGTCCTCTGTTGGTTTAATTTTGACCCATACCCAAATGACCTGAGAAGTGCCGCACTTTGCTGAACAATGGAAGAGAAGGAACGACCGTAGTGCCCAAACCACTCACCTTTAGAATCGTCATGCGAGGAATCATGCGCAACTACAAAGGTGGTAACAGAACATACGTGTCCGCAAAGGCGAGCAGTCTCTTGCTGGCTGATGAGGGCAAAGGGGTGCAATGGTAGATAGAACGATGTGATTAGAGAATGCTACGCTTGAGCATCCCTGAGCAAATATTGGCTCAGGCAAAGCCTGGTTGTGCCAAACTCAGCTTCCACCTCACCAAATCTGAGGGCATGTCGTTCAGCGCAACAGCATCAAGTTCATGATTTAGCTTGGCCACATCGTGTGATGTGCCGAACGCATGGTACACGGGACGTTCAATTGATCTGACTTGTCCTATCTCCCGCTAGTGCCGTTTCGCCTTAGCCTGGGATCTGGGCCATTTCGGTTGAAAGGAAGTTTCCTTGACACATCTTTCTGCGGCTTAACCAGGGCACGGGGATTGGCTGGGACGCGGCTCCTTGCGGTCAATGATTGGTGATGCGAGACCCTCCAAGTTTCTCCGCGCTCTGCGCGGCGCCAGGCGCCTGGGGACCAGGCACTTGCCTGCACTTGCTCCATGGCTGTCTCCAGGTTCCTGGACAGTGCAGATCACATTGGACCCGAGTGAGAGATGTGACTCATCCCATGGCGACAGCCAAAGACCTGGACCAGTTCAGAAGCCGTCGTTCCAAGTTTCGTTGCCTCGATTGGGATATGATTCCTCCTTGTCTTTCTTCCATTAATGAGCTCCTGTGTGTCTCGGATTATCTTTTCGCCAACTCCGGCGGATGCAATCAGGCTTTAGGTGAGCACGTGCTCGATTGATGTTCACCTCGACGTTGTCTCTTCAAGTGCTTAGTCATAAGAAGCATCCGATTCCTTGCAACAATGGCCAATATCAACAGCTAGATTGCATTTCTGCCACAGAGTCCCCAAAAGAATCCTCGCGTTTTGCCTCAAACGAAAACAAGCTCCTGCCGAAATCCGGGCCAATCCAAACAAATCGAGCCACTCTAGGGCCTCACCCTTGATTTAGTGCGGTATTCTGAATTCATTCAAATTCTAACAGTAGCCAAAGTCAGGCTAGCCCCAAGCCGAAGCCGGAACCCCGAGTTTGTCTCAAAATCGTGGACCCCCTGAAATGGTTATTCCTTTCTCTTCCCTCCAAGACCAACCCAAAAGGGGGTCCCTCAAAAAAAGAAAAGGGACACACCTAAGCCAATCACTTCACGCCCCCCCGAAAAACCCGCGGACACGTCCTGCAGTTCTCCTGGGTCTTGTCCTGTTGAAGCTCGTAGGCCTCCGAAGGCGGACAAACCATGCCACACGTTCCCTGGAGCGGCGTCACACAAATATGCCCCAAGCAACGCCCCGTAGGCATGAAAAGCCGAGAAGCAGAAGGGCTTGAAAGCAAGGAAGCAAGGAAGCAAGGAAGCAAGGAAGCAAGGAAGCAAGGAAGCAAGGAAGCAAGGAAGCAAGCAGGCAAGGAAGCAAGGAAGCAAGGAAGCAAGGAAGCAAGGAAGCAAGGAAGCAAGGAAGCAAGGAAGCAAGGAAGCAAGGAAGCAAGGAAGCAAGGAAGCAAGGAAGCAAGAAGCAAGGAAGCAAGGAAGCAAGGAAGCAAGGAAGCAAGGAAGCAAGGAAGCAAGGAAGCAAGGAAGCAAGGAAGCAAGGAAGCAAGGAAGCAAGCAAGGAAGCAAGGAAGCAAGGAAGCAAGGAAGCAAGGAAGCAAGGAAGCAAGGAAGCAAGGAAGCAAGGAAGCAAGGAAGCAAGGAAGCAAGGAAGCAAGGAAGCAAGGAAGCAAGGAAGCAAGGAAGCAAGGAAGCAAGGAAGCAAGGAAGCAAGGAAGCAAGGAAGCAAGGAAGCAAGGAAGCAAGGAAGCAAGGAAGCAAGGAAGCAAGGAAGCAAGGAAGGAAGCAAGCAAGCAAGCAAGCAAGCAAGCAAGCTACTGGCTTGCTTGCTTCCTTGCTTCCTTGCTTCCTTGCTTCCTTGCTTCCTTGCTTCCTTGCTTGCTTGCTTGCTTGCTTGCTTGCATGCTTGCTTGCTTCCTTGCTTCCTTGCTTGCTTGCTTGCTTGCTTGCTTGCTTGCTTGCTTGCCTGCTTATTTGCATACTTACTTGCCTGCTTGCCGGCTTGCCTGCTGTCTTGTTTGCCTGCTTTCCTGCTTGCCTGCTTGCTTGGCTTGGCTTGGCTTAGCTTGGCTTGGCGTGGCATGGCGTAGCTCGTTTGTTTGCGTGTTTAGGTTTCTTGTTGCTTGTTTAATTGCTTGCTTGTGTTCCTTTTTTGTTTCTCCGTTCCGTCGTCCGTTGTTTCTTTGTTCCTGTGTGTGTGTGTGCTTGCAGGATCGCTTGCTTGCTTGCCTGATGCTTTGTTTGTGTTTGTCTCCTTGTCCGGCTATTTTTTGTTGGTATATTTGTTTAAATGGTTGTTGCACTTGATTGTTGGATTTCGGCTATTGCTGCCCCCGATACCGTTGCCGCTGCCAACGCAGCTGTCGCTGCCACTGCTGCTTCCTCGTGATTGTGGCTCTTGTTGTCATTGTTGTTGTCGTTGCCATGTTGTTCTTGTTCTTTCTCTTGCGCTTGTCCCTGTTCAGGTTCATCTGCTTCTTCTGCTTCTTCTTCTTCTTCTTCTTCTTCTTCTTCTTCTTCTTTGTTGCTGCTGCTGCTGCTGTGGTGGCGGCGGCGGTGGGGGGGCGTGTGCTTGTGCTTGTGCTTGCGCTTGCGCTTGCTTGTGCGCGCGCTTGTGCTTGTGCTCGTTCTTTTTGTCGGCGTCGTTGTCGTTGTTTGGTTTTGGTGGTTTGGCTGGCTGTGCTTGATTTTACTGTTTTTGTTTTTCTGCTTGTCGCTGGCCAAAATCCTCAACCGTCTCTGCAAAACTCGCAATTCTGATTTACCCTTTTGTTCCCGACCTCGAATCCATCCAGATCGGCTTGGAGAAACCGCGCTCGCCCCGCGCTCGCCCGTCGGCCTGTTGCCTGTCGTGGATCTGCTGCTGCTCGCGCTCTGTGTCC